CCTCAGGCCTGTTTAGTCGCCCACTTAGCGTGGGTATGGCCCAAATTCTTGGCTGCCTTGGGCCAGCGTTTGGGTCGGGGTCCAATTTCTTCTTTTTGGCCTATTTTGTTTTCCGCATGCCAGTTTTTCATCTCGAACCTACTTTTAAAAATTATTTCAAATGAGAAAAATTTGATAAAATTATTTTAAGTCATGCGACTCAAATTTTGGTTCTCCGAGTCCTAATTTTTAAAAAAATGAGAGAGTTCCAAGTCCACGAAAAATCTGATTAAAACCCTTAAATATTAATTTTGATTAAGTATGGGTTTTTGAGTATTCTCGAGTAATGAGATAGATTATTGATAAATTATATCGCTTAAATGTAGGTGTTTGAGGAGTCGAGTCCTCGACATATGTTCCGCTAATTGTTGTGTTTTGCTATTCCGAATTACCAGGTGGTTGATTTATGAATATCCATGCCGTGAGTAATGCATGTTATATGTATGGTATGATCAATGTATGCATGTGAACCATGTAGACTTTGATGTGAGTTGTACCAGCCATCAAATAGTTATCCCTGTAACTATAGAACGGACCCCGTTGGGCTAATATTCTCTTTTCGTCTTGACTCTTGAGCGAAGGACGCATCGCCTGTAAGACCAGGGTTGTGCTCGGCCGGCAATAAGTACCTCATTGTAAGACCAAGGAAGGGGCCTTGGCCGTTGGGGAATACTCCTGCTGTTATGGCATCATTGTAAGGCCTGAGCGAAGGCATTTAATGTTAGAGATATGCTGTAAAAGTTATGTTTTGCAGATTTTATCGATTCCATTTTGATCTGGCCATCATGTTTCAGTCAAAGTACATATGTTTGCAGTTTATTTATTTATGCAAATCATACTCAATGTCTTATATTGAGATAGTGTGGTTCGAAGTGTTTCGAATAGAAAGATCACCTATCAGTTCCTTATAAGACTAAACTATTCATTCACAGTCTAGACAAGCAGTGAGAACCCTCTTAGAAAAAAACTGTAGTGTATTCTTGATTCAGTTGGTCTTTGACTGAAGAATTACACTAGTACTTATGTTAAGAGTTGAACAGGACCACGGAAGGATAAGGTTATGAGACTCACTATTCATTGTTGTAACCTAGACCTTCAGTGATTGATTGTAACACCCCAAACTCATGTCGTTCATTTTATGCTTATTATTATTTTTCATGGATATTATTTATGTTTAATTTAATGATTTATAAAGTTATTTTTATTTATTTTTTCTATAAGCTCGATTTTATGTGATAATTAAGTGAGTGTCCACACTCATTTATTTATCAAGTTAATGATTAAAAAGGGAATTATTCAGATGCCCTCATCTATTTAATTTTACTAAGTATTAATGCAATAATAATGATATAATTTTAATTATGAAATGGCTTAATTTAATTAATATAATTTTAATTTATTAATGAATATAATAATTATTAAGATGATAAATTGAGCTCAAAATCAGTCCAATAACCCTATATAATTTCCCCTAAACCGTACATGTGAGAAAGAGGAAAAGACTTTTCTTTCCTACCAAGTCATAGTAAGATGGAAGGAAATCAAATGCCTTATCACATTAGGAGTGCTAAAGCCACTTCAAATCTCTTTAACCCCTTCCTATATAGAAGGCCTTATACCATAAGACATTAATCTTTTCTGATCGTAAACACCTCCTCCTCTCAAAATCTCTTCCTCTCTTAAATCGTGCGGGAAAAAAAAGAACGGGTCATTTTCTTTTCCTTCACGAGCGAGCCTTCTTCCTTCCGACCAGCACCAGCCCCTCCCGCTCGCGACGACCAGCAGGTACCAGCGACCACGTGAAGCACCGGCCCCTCCCGCGAGCAGCAACCGGCATCAACGAGCCACGCCCGACGATTCCCGCAAGCCTCACGTCAAGGCCCCGTGCACGAGCGAGTGAAGCCGAAGTCCCAAGCCGTTTTGTTTTATCGTTTCTTGAGCGAGGTAAAACAGCCATGATCCTTTTTCCTCTGGCCGAGAATTATGAGTCTAATGTGAATTCTAAGAGATTGATAATTAAGAGGAAGAATTCTAATATTTTTTAATTCAGGATTGATGACTTGGTTTGTGTATTATGTGCTTATGTTAATTGTATAGCATGAGTTGAGATTGATGATGTATTTTATGTTTTTAAAATGTGTTATTAAAATGTTAGAGTTCAAGTTCAAGGCTGAAGTGATGAGTTGAGGAGTTAAAAGTTTTATTGTTCAAATATGGTTGATGAATTCAGATTTCATGGCCTCTGTTGTGAGCCCTTTTTGGCTATCATGAACTCGTTTCTTGGGAATGTGTTCTTCATGAGATATGTGGCAAATTTTGTTATGTTTCTATAGATTTTGGAATCTTGGGAATCGGAGTTCATATGGATTTTATATGATTTTTACAAGTCAGTTCTGCGTCCAGTTTTTCTAATGTCGGGCTGCGTATAGGTGCTGAATGTATGGCCTAGTTTGATGAACCAATCGTGCTTACATGCAGTAGTGCTGAACATAAAAATTGTAGCTATCTGAGTTATGTTTTAGAGGGAGTCAGAATGTTTAAAAAATAAGTTCAAATGAATTTTATGTGATTTTTAAAAGTCGAGTTGGCATCCAATTTTTACATAGCAGTGGCAGGTTAGGCATGTTGAATGTAGGATCAGTTTTGATGATGTTATCGTGCCCGAATGATTAAGTTTTCTTCATAAAAAGTGTAACCTACTTGTTTAGTTTCTGTAAGATGTGAGATTTCATGATTTAGAGTCTTCCAGCTCAAGTTATTGATGTTTTACTGAAGTTTTGTATGAATGAAAAACTGGAAATGTGCTGTTTTTATATCTGTGTTGTTCATCTAATTTGACCTTTATGAATTGGTTTCTTGAAGGTGAGTTCTTCTGAAGAAAGTTAGTATTCTCTGTTATCTTTATGTGGCTGCTAGAATCTTGGAAAAATATGTTTATTCGAGTAAGTTATGATTTTTACAAAATTGTTGCGCGAGCAGTTTTTCTTAAATCCGGCTGCAGTTAGGTCTGGATGTTTTGTGTGTTTATGATATGATAATTTGTTCAAATAAACGTGAAGTCTTCATTGAAATTGTAGTTCTATGTATTACCTTTCATGTGGTTTTGGAAACAAGCAAAAATATGGTCCGAGTGGTGAATGATACCTGTTTTCGTAAAACCGCGCATGAATTTATTTTAAAGTTCTGAACAGTATTTTAGCTTTGAATGTTTGCTGGTTTTGGACCATGTATATGACCTTATTTGCTTTTGAGTGCTAAATGAAAGTTGTAGGTGCATGTTTTAAGTTTTAAATGTCACTGGTTTCACATTTATGTCATTTGTGTACTAAAAACTATACTTGTTTTACTACTGCTGGGTATGCTGAAATTTCATGAACTAAGTGTGGTGATTTCATAAATGGTATATTCCTTACTTTTTCTTTTATGTGATCTGTTTGAACCAAGATGACCTCTTTGAAGTTATCATGAATCTTAGATGCAATTTAAGTCTTTTAAGCAAGCTAAGTCATCAATCCGCCTAAGACATTAACTAAGAAGAGTTTTCAAAAGATGCAAGCAAGGCGAAGCCAAGCGAGCAAAGTTTTTCTAAAGTTTATGTATGATTACAAGTATAAGTATAAGAATAGGTTCCATGTTAAGAAACTAAGACATAACCCCAATGAATGTAGTTTTACCTGGAGTCGAGCCCTCGAGGTTTCTTTCAAGTTCAAGTCTAAGCCGAGCATTCTACTGAAAAGGTGGGGGAAGTTCTACTTTATTAATCCTCTTTAATTATCTATGCTATGAATGAAGTTAAGTAGCTTGAATAGTACCCATATTTATTCAATGTTCCAACATTCAAGCAAGTCGTTTGTTGCAGTACCAAGGTTCACAGACTATAACTCTAGAGGGTAGCTAAGTGCTAGGGTTAGAGGGTGTAAGTGATTATGTGTAACCTTCGTTGGTGCACTCTTCGAACGGTTGTCCCCGTCGATAAGACTGTACAGAGCCTAGTGAAAGGCTATCTTCCTTCAATCTATTGAAAGGTACTCTCATCAAGCCTAATTGGTCGTGCCATCTGCGAGAGGCATTGTTCTTCCACCACCCTAAAGTGGTATAAGAAGTTTGATGAGTGGTGGGAGTGTGACAAGAATGTAATCGCCTGCATGCAAAGACTCTAGTGTTTAGTTGTCTAATAGTGTTGTAGAAGCAAGAAAGTCTTTCGACTTGTGGGTCACCACTCATCGGGAGCTCATGATTATGTGGAGTATACGAAAACGATTTCATGCTTTATAGTTGATTAGGATGATAACGTAGAGGAATCTCTCACGGAGTAAGTGGAAATGCTCACCCCATTTGTTTTCCACACCCAGGTTTTTTGGCGAGCTGGCAAAGGAGCGATGGCGAGGGTGGTCACATGTTTTATGTTTATGATACTTATGTTTTAAAAGCTTTCGCTATGCAAAGTTTATTTTATGAAATAAGTCATGGTTCATGCAAGTCAAGTTAAAGTGTAAGTTCTCAAGGCAACGCAATGAATGTTCATGTATGAAGTGTTTATGTTCATGAAAAGTTTTAATGTTTATGAAAAGATCATGTATGAAAATTTTTTTCAAAGTGAGTAGCACCCTGAGTTCCAAGTAAAGTCTTAAAATGTCATATAAAAAGAAAAAATTATTCTAGAAAATCAATGTACGAAAAGCGGGGTGTTACAGTTTGGTATCAGAGCCCAAGTTTTGTGGTTCTGTAGACTCGTAAAAATAGTTTAAAAAATTTTCAAGAAATGACCACTTGCCACCGTCGCACCATGCCAACTCTGAGGTAAGTTATTTAAGTTAAGTTATTATTACGCGCATAATAGAATAACATGAGTTGGGGCTTAAGATTCTACCCATGAATGGATTCAAACTCTAGAGATGATCAAACATAGTGAGCTTTGAAGCAAGCGATTAACTCTAGTATCTTCCAGAAATTGCAAGAAGAAATCAAAATGTGGTGCCACCGGCCAACGGCATGGATCAAGCTAAAATGATGGGCCATTTTCAAAAGATGGATCCGCCAATTTTTACCGGAAAAGAAGGACCGGCACATGTAGATGAGTGGTTCATGACAATGGAAGATATCTTTGAGGTGTTGGGTTGCACAAATGAGCAGAAGATAACGTGCGGTCAATACTAGCTGAAAGAGGATGCTAAGAGGTGGTGGACCACCTATTGGAGGACGAAGCCGGTAGATGAGCGCACGAATTTGACCTGGGAGAGGTTCAAGGAGATCATGGCGGAAAAGTACTATCCCCAACACTATCACGAGCAACTGGAAAGTGAATTCTGGAACTTAACTCAAGGGAGCCTAACTGTGGATGAATATGAAAGAGAATTCACTAAGCTGAGCTATTTTGTGGAGCATCTGGTGGACACGGATGTCAAGAGGGCGAAGAAGTTTAGAAGAGGTTTGAAACCTACTATCCGACACCTAGTGGCGAGCCATGGAGATCTCCCATATGCAGAAACTGTGGGTAGGGCGCTACAAATTGAGGCAAGTATCAAGCTAGAAAAGGAAGCTACTTTGGTCATGGAGGCTCAAGCTTCGGGTAGCAACAAGAAGAGGAAATTCGAACACCCGAAGAAGAAGGAAGAAGGTGGCCAAGCTCTCCAACCCCGACCACTGCAGCAAGTGCCCGCCGTGGATAGGCAGGAATGCCATATCTGTGGCAAGAAGCACCGTGGAGAGTGTCTGTTGGGGCAGAACATATGTTTTTGTTGCAAGAAGCCTGGACACTTTAGAGTAAATTGCCCGGGAATCGGTCAACCACCACCACCACCACAGCAGAACTTACCTCCGGCCAGACAAGGGAGGCTTGGAGAAAGAGCTCCAGCGAGGGTCTACACCTTGGCTCATTATGAGGAAGAAATGAAGAGGGAGCCGAAATAATTGTCTTCTGCTATTTGAATTATTTGATTTCTAGATTGGATTTTTTTTTTTTAAAAAAAAAATATTGCTTTGTTTCCGCATGGGATATTGTTTCGCTTTGTTTTCGCATGGATTGGATTTTGGAAATTTCGGACAATTTTTATTTTTATGGATTATGACCATTGTCTATATGTTCTATGTAAGCATGCATGTAATGTCGTTATGTTAATTAGATGGCGATCATCCGAGCCACGCAAACCGTTCTAGGACCAGGTTGTCACACATCCCGAAAGATCTGTGAGTTTCTTCAGTACGGCTACGACTCCCAGAAAACTGTTGGAGCGAACATCCAAGAGATATTCGAGTTATGGGAAAGTGCAAGGAAAATTGGAAAGGATAGGAAGATCAAGAAAGATGCACTGTCTCATTGGGATGGCTGCAAGAAGCTATTCACCGTGTTGCCACTGGAGTGGAAGGCCGATGTCAATGGACTCTATATAAAGCTATTGATTGAAGGTATGGGAGATGAGAATCGAAAGAAGGAGGATGTGGTCAGCGTTTACGACTTAGTTCTGAAAGTAGGCAACTTGTGGGAAGAAAAGAAAATTCCACTGGAGACGGGATTGGAGACCACTGAAGAAGACTCAACTGAACTTGAGCCAGCTGAGGAGGAGCTTAACTCGAATTGAAGTGTTGGCAGTAACTAGAAGCTAAGCCGTTTCTTATGTTTGATGAACTCTAGGAATAAGAACTTTTTCGGGGACGGAAAATTTTTAAGAAGGGTAGATTGTAACACCCCAAACTCATGTCGTTCATTTTATTCTTATTATTATTTTTCATGGATATTATTTATGTTTAATTTAATGATTTATAAAGTTATTTTTGTTTTTTTTTTCTGTAAGCTCGATTTTATATGATAATTAAGTGAGTGTCCACACTCATTTATTTATCAAGTTAATTATTAAAAAGGGAATTATTTAGATGTCTTCATCTATTTAATTTTCCTAAGTATTAATGCAATAATAATGATATAATTTTAATTATGAAATGGCTTAATCTAATTAATATAATTTTAATTTATTAATGAAGATAATAATTATTAAGATGATAAATTGAGCTCAAAATCAGTCCAACAACCCTATATAATTTCCCCTAAACCGTACATGTGAGAAAGAGGAAAAGACTTTTCTTTCCTACCAAGTCATAGTAAGATGGAAGGAAATCAAATGCCTTATCACATTAGGAGTCCTAAAGCGACTTCAAATCTCTTTAACCCCTTACTATATAGAAGGCCTTATACCATAAGAGATTAATCTTTTCTGATCGTAAACACCTCCTCCTCTCAAAATCTCTTCCTCTCTTAAATCGTGCGAAAAAAAAAGAACGGGTCCTTTTCTTTTCCTTTCACGAGCGAGCCTTCTTTCTTCCGACTAGCACCAGCCCCTCCCGCTCGCGACGACCAGCAGGTACCAGCGACCACCTGAAGCACCAGCCCCTCCCGCGAGCAGCAACCGGCAGCAACGAGCCACGCCCGACGATTCCCGCAAGCCTCACGTCAAGGCCCCGTGCACGAGCGAGTGAAGCCGAAGTCCCAAGCCGTTTCGTTTTATCGTTTCTTGAGCGAGGTAAAACAGCCATGATCTTTTTCCCTCTGGCCGAGAATTATGAGTCTAATGTGAATTCTAAGAGATTGATAATTAAGAGGAAGAATTCTAATATTTTTTAATTAAGGATTGATGACTTGGTTTGTGTATTATGTGCTTATGTTAATTGTATAGCATGAGTTGAGATTGATGATGGATTTTATGTGTTTAAAATGTGTTATTAAAATGTTAGAGTTCAAGTTCAAGGCTGAAGTGATGAGTTGAGGAGTTAAAAGTTTTATTGTTCAAATATGGTTGATGAATTCAGATTTCATGGCCTCTGTTGTGAGCCGTTTTTGGCTATCATGAAATCGTTTCTTGGGAATGTATTCTTCATTAGATATGTGGCAAATATCTTTATGTTTCTGTAGGTTTTGGAATCTTGGAAATCGGATTTCATATGGATTTTATATGATTTTTACAAGTCAGTTCTGCGTCCAGTTTTTCTTATGTCGGGCTGCGTATAGGTGCTGAATGTATGGCCTAGTTTTATGAACCAATCGTGCTTATATGCAGTAGTGCTGAACATTAAAATTGTAGCTATCTGAGTTATATTTCATACGGAGTTGGAATTTTTAAAAAATGAGTTTAAATGAATTTTATGTGATTTTTATAATTCGAGTTGGCATCCAGTTTTTACATAGCAGTGGCAGGTTAGGCATGTTGAATGTAGGATCAGTTTTGATGATGTTATCGTGCCCGAATGCTTAAGTTTTCTTCATAAAAAGTGTAACCCTACTTGTTTAGTTTCTGTAAGATATGAGATTTCATGATTTGGAGTCTTCCAGCTCAAGTTATTGATGTTTTACTGAAGTTTTGTATGAATGAAAAACTGGAAATGTGCTGTTTTTATGTTTGTGTTGTTCGTCTAATTTGACCTTTATGAATTAGTTTCTTGAAGGTGGGTTCTTCTGAAAAAAGTTAGTATTCTCTGTTATCTTTATGTGGCTGCTAGAGTCTTGGAAAAAAATGTTTATTCGAGTAAGTTATGATTTTTACAAAATTGTTGCGCGAGCAGTTTTTCTTAAATCCGGCTGCAGTTAGGTCTAGATGTTTTGTGTGTTTATGATATGATAATTTGCTCAAATAAACCTGAAGTCTTCATTGAAATTATAGTTCTATGTGTTACCTTTCATGTGGTTTTAGAAACAAGCAAAAATATGGTCCGAGTGGTGAATGATACCTGTTTTCGTAAAACCGCGCATGAATTTATTTTAAAGTTCTGGACAGTATTTTAGCTTTGAATGTTTGCTGGTTTTGGACCATGTATATGACCTTATTTGCTTTTGAGTGCTAAATGAAAGTTGTAGGTGCATGTTTTAAGTTTTAAATGTCCCTGGTTTCACGTTTATATCATTTGTGTACTAAAAACTATACTTGTTTTACTACTGCTGGGTATGCTGAAATTTCATGAACTATGTGTGGTGATTTCATAAATGGTATATTCTTTCCTTTTTCTTTTATGTGATCTGTTTGAACCAAGATGACCTCTTTGAAGTTATCATGAATCTTAGATGCAATTTAAGTCTTTTAAGCAAGCTAAGTCATCAATCCGCCTAAGACATTAACTAAGAAGAATTTTCAAAAGATGCAAGCAAGGCGAAGCCAAGCGAGCAAAGTTTTTCTAAAGCTTATGTATGATTACAAGTATAAGTATAAGAATAAGTTCCATGTTAAGAAACTAAGACATGACCCCAATGAATGTAGTTTTACGAGGAGTCGAGCCCTCGAGATTTCTTTCAAGTTCAAGTCTAAGCCGAGCATTCTACTGAAAAGGTGGGGGAAGTTCTACTTTATTAATCCTCTTTAATTATCTATGCTATGAATGAAGTTAAGTAGCTTGCATAGTACCCATGTTTATTCAATGTTCCAACATTCGAGCAAGTCGTTTGTTGCAGTATCAAGGTTCACAGACTATAACTCTAGAGGGTAGCTAAGTGCTAGGGTTAGAGGGTGTAAGTGATTATGTGTAACCTTCGTTGGTGCACTCTTCGAACGGTTGTCCCCGTCGATAAGACTGTACGGATCCTAGTGAAAGGCTATCTTCCTTCAACCTATTGAAAGGTACTCTCATCAAGCCTAATTGGCCGTGCCATCTGGGAGAGGAATTGTTCTTCCACCACCCTAAAGTGGTATAAGAAGTTTGATGAGTGGTGGGAGTGTGACAAGAATGTAACTGCCTGCATGCAAAGACTCTAGTGTTTAGTTGTCTAATAGTGTTGTAGAATCAAGAAAGTCTTTCGACTTGTGGGTCACCACTGGTCGGGAGCTCATGATTATGTGGAGTATACGAAAAAGATTTCATGCTTTATAGTTGATTAGGATGATAACGTAGAGGGATCTCTCACGGACTAAGTGGAAATGCTCACCCCATTTGTTTTCCACACCCAGGTTTTTTGGCGAGCTGGCAAAGGAGCGATGGCGAGGGTGGTCACATGTTTTATGTTTATGATACTTATGTTTTAAAAGCTTCCGCTATACAAAGTTTATTTTATGAAATAAGTCATGGTTCATGCAAGTCAAGTTAAAGTGTAAGTTCTCAAGGCAACGCAATGAATGTTCATGTATGAAGTGTTTATGTTCATGAAAAGTTTTAATGTTTATGAAAAGATCATGTATGAAAAGTTTTTTCAAAGTGAGTAGCACCCTGAGTTCCAAGTAAAGTTTTAAAATGTCTTATAAAAAGAAAAATTTATTCTAGAAAATCAATGTACGAAAAGCGGGGTGTTACATTGATGCGTTCTCTTAAGCTGTAAGATAATATATATTAGTCATTGTTCGTTCCATTTTTGTCGTGTTTTCCTTGTTCATTTTGCATTTATTTTTCCCCATTCTAGGTTATTTCTTTGGTCCTTGGTCCATTTTGTGTCTCGTAGTGTGTTTTCTTTATTTTGCTCGTTTTTTGTTTTCTTGTTTGTTTTTCCCAGTTTTCTGGGTTTTTCTTGTCGGTGGTGATGTGCAGGATAGGTAGTTCAGTTGAGAAGTGTCCATGCGAGGATAATCATCTAGACGGATGAGTTGGGGTCAGGTAGGAAAAGACGGAATCCAATTCCGAGTCCATACGCGTGGATACGAGCCCGGAAATCACAGCCATGTCTCAGAAATCCTTCACCTCGGCCCGCGACGGTGTTCCCGCGGCTGCAGTGAACAAATCGTGTCCAGCGCCTAGTTTTCTTCATCGCGGCCGCGGAGGAGGGAGTCGCGGCCGCGAGGAGCGCAAAATTTGGAACCAGCGGACAGAGAGAAAATGCCGCGGCCACGTGGGAAGTCGCGACCGCGGAGCACTCCTTCACCGCGGCCCGCGAGCTTCTCCGCGGCCGCGGGAGACGCGATTTCAGAATTTTAAAACAACAGTTTTTTTTTTGAACCAGAGGATTATGTTTTACTCTAGGTTTTGAATACCCTTGGAATTTTCACTAAAAATCAGATACTTTCACTTATTTCGATCGTGGTAATCGATCTTGGAGAGAAAAACTCCGAGATTCGACTTTTGGATTCGGTTTATTCGTTTTTTCAATATTGGATTCATTACTCGTAAGATTTCATTTCGTTTTCTTATTGATTGAATGACTTTGATTATTGAATATGTTGATGTTGAATGCATAACGAGTAGCTAAATTCATTAGCTAGGGGTAGGGGATTATCGTTCCGGTTCGATTTCGTTCATGTGCATGATAAATTGCTCAATCGTTTCAAGTTGTGCTAAAAAATTGCTCAATCTTTTCGAGTTGTGCTCAACCTAGGGTTTAGATTCTTGATCGCCATCTTAATCTAATTAATTGATTTTGAAACTGGAAGGAGAGAGATCATTCGACCTAGGCTCATTAAGAATAGACTTGTTCGGTAACGTATTGTCTATGTGCTAATTGATTCGTTATTGATTCATTTACGTTTATTCTCTTGTTTTGTGAGATATTGAGTATGAACCTCTAGATGAGTTAGTTTTTGAGTTCTTTAGTTGAGTAATTGATCGTTCATAAAATGTTGCGAGAACCGGAAACGATATCCCCGATACCCTAGCCCCTTCATTCATTTTTCGAATTCGTGTTTTGAGTTGAGAATTTCTAGTCTTGTTTTTACAGTTCGTAGTCAATAAAACAATTCAACAAACTTGAATTAGAATGTTTAGGATTTCATTTTCTCTTTTTGTGTGATCGAATATACGTGCAAAATTATTCGGCTAACCTTCCTTGAGAGACGAACCGGTGTTTGAATCCTTTGATTTAACTCCGGTAAAAATATTAACAACAAATTTGGTGCCGTCGCCGGGGAAGGTTTAGGATTTATTTTATGCGCCTATTCATCTTGTTTTTAGTGTTTCTCTTTTTTCTTGTGATTTTTCTTGTTTCAATGTTTCTCTTTGTTTCTTTTGCTTAGTTTTATAGGTCTTGATTTTTGGTTGTTTAATTTAGTTTCTATTCCTTGTTTATCTGGTGCTCGTGACGGTTTCTTGTCTTTGTGTATGCGTACCAAGAGTGGTCGTGTACTATCACCTATCGACAAACCGTTCAATGAAAGACTAAGATAGCTACTGGAAGAGCTCACTCTCGAATCTCACGAAGGAGGCGATCATTCCCCGAAATCGTCCCAAGGCAGCAACTTTGACATAGGTGAACAACAACAACAACCGCCTCGTAAGAACCTCCGAACCTTAGCCCAGCCTATTATCAGCCAGTCACTTCGTGCATCCGTTTGCCAGATCCCGCACGGAATTATAAATTGAAGATGATTCACTACAACCAGCAGCCGGCATTCCATGGGCTCCTGAGTGAAGACTCGCTTAACTTCATCCGGGAATTCTACAATGTCCTCAATACCTTCTTTCTCAATGGGCTGAATGAGGATTGGTTGAAGATGAGTTGCTTCCCAGAAACATTGAAAGACCGGGCCAAGGCCTAGTTCATGACGCTTGCACCGGCATCTCTAACTACCTAGACCGAAGTATACACGAAGTTCATTGGGAGGTATTACTCCCATCAGAAGACTCAGGAGCTCCGGTCATAGATCGTCTCATTTGCCCAACTACCGAGTGAGCCTCTTCACGAGGCTTGGGAGCGATTCAAGGATCTCCAGCGTCAGTGCCCTCACCACAATCTTTCGCGGGGACTATTGATGAATTGCTTCTACGACTCCCTCAATCAAAATTTGCAATATTTGGTTGACAATGCTGCGGGGGGAGACATCGGTGCAAAGACGACCGAAGAGATGTACGAGATTTTTGAGACGATGAGTGCTAACTCGTCTCAAAAGAGCAATCGAGGGAAGAGGGTCGTGGTCAACGAGGTATCGTCTGCTGAAGACATGATAGCCCACCAAATAGCCGAACTCACAGAGCAAATGCGGCTAATGAATGCACGAGGAGGCCAGTCAGTGCACACCATGGCGGTAGACACATGCGGGGCATGTGGATTTCAGGGGCATAGATCCGAGGTGTGCCCATCGGCATTTGACCAGGAAGTAAGAGAACAGTATGCAGACGTCAATGCCCTCCAAGGTTATCAGAACCGGCAGCCTAACGACCCCTACTCCAATACGTACAACCCCGGGTAGAGAAATCACCCACACTTCTCGTGGTCAAACAACAGCAACACCCTCCAACCACCTCGCCCAAACTTCACCCAATAGCAATCCCGTCCAAACTTCATGCAACAACAACCTCGTCCCAACTTCATCCCTCGTCCGAACTACCAACAACAGCAACCGAAACAACAAGCCCAAGGGTCCGGGTTGAGCTCGTCAAACCAAGATGACAAGCTAGACAAGATCTTTCAATTTATCACCAACCAAGACTCACCTATTAAGCGTCTCGAGACGCAAGTGGGTCAGCTTGCCACGAGAGTCAGGAACATGGAGGCTGAGTCAGACAAAGGGAATCTTCCGAGGCAGCCCGAGCAAGCAAAGGCGATAACTGTGTTGAGGAGCGGGAAGGAAGTGGACAACAAAGTAAGAATGCCTGAGCCCGATGACCTCAAACCAACCGACCAGTCCAAAGAGACCGAGGAGGGCGTGAAGAGCACATAAACCGATTTGGGAAAACCGATAAAGAGTCCTTTGCTTCACAAGTCTCCAAACCCTTACAAGCCACGCATCCCTTTTCCAAGCCGACTTCGAGATGAGAAGCAAGAGCAGCAATTCCGGGACATGTACAACATGCTCTCGAAAGTTAACATCAACTTACCTCTGCTGGACGTGATCAAGAACATGCCATCTTACGTGAAGTTCTTCAAGGATTTGGTCACGAAGAAGAGAAAGTTCGGAGATGGAGAGAAAGTAGTGGTTTATGAGGCAGCGAGTGCCATGCAGCATGATCATCCAAAGAAAGAACGGGATCCCAGGGGTTTCGTGATAATAATTGCTCTCGGGAACGAAAAAGAAGTTGGGGATGCTTGACCTTGGAGCGGGAATCAATCTCATGCCATTTTCTATCTTCCAGAGGCTCGGTCTCGGAGACTTGAGACCCACTCGCATGTTTCTACAGCTTGCAGACCGTTCAATCAGATACCCCAAGGGGGTGGTTGAGGTTGTCCTTGTTCATCTCGGGAAGCTCATAGTCCCGGTGGACTTTGTAGTTCTTGATGTGGGGGACGTACAGGAGAATGGGAAGGATCACACCATCCTTCTCGGTAGACCATTCATGGCCACTACCAACACGCTCATTGATGTGAGGAACGGGACCTTGAACATGACTGTCTTGGGGGAGTGCGTATCTATCTCAGTCCGAGGAGCCACCTCGGCATCCTCGGTAAACTGTGTGGAGGAGTGTGCCTTCGTTGATATGAGTGATCCCTTTGTAGAAGAAGTGACTATTCGAGACATGGAAGAGAGATTGATGCCTGATCTTGAAGAGGAGAAAGGACCATTTATCGAGCTGATGGAGGTCGAAGAGCCGAGATCTATAGCCCCTCCAACACTAGAGCTTAAGGAATTGCCTCGCCACCACAAGTATGTTTTCCTTGACGACGAGAAGCAAAAGCCGGTTATCATCTTCGCCGAGCTCAATCGACAATAGGAGAAGGAGCTGATTGAGGTGCTTAAGAAAAATCAAAAGGGCATCGGTTGGAGCCTTGGTGACATTAAGGGCATCAGCCCTTCCACGTGCATGCACCGGATTATTCTGGAAGAAGGTGCCAAACTATTTTGGGATAGCCAACGGCGGCTAAACCCGAACATGATGGAGGTGGTGAAGACGGAAGTGTTGAAGCTCTACTCTGAGGGACTCATCAATCCAGTGGCCGACAGTGAATGGGTCAGCCCGATCCATGTGGTGCCAAAGAAAGGGGGTATCACGGTCATTGAGAATGAAAAGAAGTAAATGGTCCCCACTCGCATCACTATCAGGTGGAGAATGTGTATTGACTACAGGCGACTCAACGCCGTGACCAAGAAGGACCACATCCCATTGCCGTTCATCAATCAGATTCTCGATCGACTATTCGGCCACCAGTTCAATTGCTTCCTAGACAGACTCTCTGGCTACTACCAAGTGGCCATAGCTCCGGAGGATCAGCCCAAGACAACCTTCACGTGCCCATTCGACACTTTTGCTTTCAGACGTATGCCCTTCGGCCTGTGCAATGCACACGGGACCTTCCAACGGTGCATGTTCTCCATATTCTCCGACATGCTTGAGGATTGCTTACAGGTATTTATGGATGACTTCTCTATATTTGGCACTTCATTTTCTGATTGTCTCTATAATTTATCTCGTGTGCTTAAGAGGTGTATTGAGTCTAATTTGACATTGAGTTGGGAGAAGAGTCACTTTATGGTGACTAGTGGAGTTGTGCTAGGTCATGTGGTGTCTAGTCGGGGGATTGAGGTTGACCAAGCGAAAGTTGATGTTATTGAAAAACTTCCCCCTCTAGTGAACGTGAAAGGTGTTAGGAGTTTCTTAGGACATGCTGGCTTCTATAGGAGATTTATTAAAGACTTTTCAAAAATTAGCCAGCCCTTGTGTCACTTGCTTGCTAATGATGTGCCTTTCGTATTTGATGATGCATGTGTAGATGCCTTTGCTAAATTGAAAAATAAGCTTGTGACTGCTCCTATAGTGATTGCACCTGATTGGTCTTTGCCTTTTGAGAATATGTGTGATGCTTCAAACCTTGCTGTTGGAGCCGTTTTGGGCCAACGAGTTGATAAATTGCTTCGTGTAATTTATTACGCTAGTTTGACCTTGAATGGTGCCAAATTGAATTATACGACCACTGAAAAAGAACTTTTAGCCGCTGTATTTTCTCTTGAGAAATTTAGGTCTTACATCTTGGGATCTAAAGTGATTGTGCATTCTGATCATGCGTATCTTATGTATCTTTTGAGTAAAACTCAATCGAAACCTAGGCGTATTCGGTGGATTTTGCTTTTGCAAGAGTTTGATGTGGAGATTAGAGATAGGAAAGGGTGTGAGAATGTTGTAGCTGATCACTTTTCTCAAATTGTTTTCTCTGACCCTTCACTTGCATTGAACGAGCATGTAGGCATAAATGATGATTTTTTATATGAGCATGCGAGTGAAGTGAGTAGTGTTCCTTGGTATGCAGACATAGTGAATTATTTATCAGATGGTGTCTTGTTGGCTAACCTTTCTTCCCAAGAGAGGAAACGATTTGTTTTGATGTGCAGGAGTTACTTTTGGGATGACCCACTCCTTTTTAATGTGGGAAAGGATGAGATTCTTCAGAGATGTGTACCCAAAGAAGAGCAATTGGATGTCCTTACCTTTTGCCACGAGCTCAACTGTGGAGGACAATTTGGAGGTCGAAATACTGCCTTTAAAGTCCTCCAATCAGGTTTATTCTGGCTAACCCTCTTTAAGGATGCTCATAATTTTTGTAAATCATGTGACCGATGTCAAAGAGTTGGGAACATTGGTTCTGGAAATGAAATGCCCCATGTGAACAATTTACAAGTTGAGATTTTAGATGTATGGAGCATTGATTTCATGGGACCGTTTCCCAAGTCTTTTGGCTTTGAGTATATCCTCCTTGCTATAGATTACGTGTCTAAGTTGGTCGAGGCTATCCCCACACGGACATGTGATGCTAATGTGGTTATAAAGTTTTTGCGAGGAAATATCTTGAGCAGGTTTGGATTTCCACGTGCCATTGTGAGCGATGGGAGCAAACATTTTTGTAACCGGATTTTTGAGAAGTTGATGAAGAAATACGGCATTTTGCATAAGGTGGCCACCCCTTACCATCCTCAGACCTCGGGCCAAGCTGAGACGAGCAACAAACAAATCAAGACCATTCTTGAGAAGACGGTGAACTCGTCTCCAAAAGATTGGTCGAGCTTGTTCGATGATGCACTCTAGGCCCAAAGGACAACATACAAGGGAGTATTGGGGATGAGCCCATTCAGGCTCGTCTACGGGAAATCATGCCATTTGCCCGTCGAGATCGAGCACAAGGCATTCTGGGCAATCAAAAAGATGAATTTCGATCTTGATGCCGCCGGGTGAGAGAGGATGCTGCAACTCTCGGAACTAGAAGAATGGAGAAACGAAGCTTACGAGAACTCCAAAATCTACAAGGAAAAGACAAAAAGGCTTCATGATGCCACTCTTGTTTGAACGAACCTCAAGCCCGAAATGAAGGTACTTCTCTTCAATTCTCGCCTTCGTCTTTTTCCCGGAAAGCTCAAGTCACGTTGGAGTGGGCCGTATATTGTTGATGAAGTATTGTCATTTGGAGCTGTCTAGTTGCGTAATCCAGTGAACAACGATTT